AATTAGGCTGCCATTTTTGTTGTTTTCAGTATTATGTATTGATACTGAACTTTGGTTGGTTTTTTACATTTTCATGTGTAGAACTGAGCACATTTGCTTCCTGAAGTGGTAACAGTGAAAATGAGGAGAATGAGGATGGCTCATTTAAATGAGTGTCCACTTCAGCGGCAGAATTAAACAAAGGATGTAAAATAAACAGTCAAGAATCTCTGCTTGGATTTTAAAGTTGTGCCACTTCTTTTACCAGCAGATGTTGCTGCATTTAGTAGCAAGTAATTGCAGAAGGGGTCTTGAAGGTTGTGAGTTGATTAAAAAAGAAAAAAAAAAATCTTTATTCTCAGTCCTGGGCCTCTGAAGCAAAGTGTCAGACTTTCTGTGGTTCATTTTGATGTTGTGGAGATTTAATTAAAGTCACAGGTATTGGCATAAATGGCTTACATAAGAGTGTCCACTTTCAAACATCCTTCATTTTTACTTTGACTTAGTTGATGTGGTAGAGTGAAAAGCATGAGAACATGAATCAAAAGGCAAGAAGCCTTAAAAAAAAAAGTGTATATGCATATGCTATCTGAAAGACTCCAAATCCTCAACTGACCTCATGAATTTGAGATACTCAGTGCTTTTCAACCACTTTGGCTTTACATACAATGTGACTTCTAATCTTTTGGGTTCATGATGCCACTCCTCCAGTCTGTCTAGCTCTAACCCATGCTGTCACCCAAACCACGGGGGGTTTCGCTGACCTGACACTCAGGTCCACCTTGTGGACTGTTCTAGTGCCAAATAAATGGGTATGTTGTGTCTCTTTTTGTTTTTAGGAACTCTAGAGGCAGAAAAAGAAAGGCATTTTTAGAGAAGGTCATCTTGGAAAGCTCTTAATGCAAAAGCAAGACATGAAATACCAGTATGGGCATGAACTCTAGCAAGTAAGGAACAAATGCCAAAATGCCATTTTCTTTAATTAATATTCTGGATTTTCTCCAGGAGGAGTTATCTCATCTCCTTTCTCTTTATATACAGCATATTGCAAAAAGAATAAACTGAAATGGAGCACTTAATTTGTGGAGGGAATTATGCTGTTGTGCTAACCAAGGAAAATTATGGTACACTGATTTAAAAATAAGCTCTGCTTTCTCCCCTCCAGTACCCCAAAAAACATTCTACTATTCTTCTGAACACAAGGTATTCAAATCCAGGGCTGCTACTGCCTAACTTAATGAAAGACTACAGTATGCCAGGAAAATACCCAAGACATAAAATACATTTATGGCTAGTGGTGATTGTTATTTTATGCCTGTCAGTAATCTTTTTAGCCAAAAGCTATCCTCAGTTATTGATATTTCATTATGGGGTTTCAAGGTGACTCTGTAGATGACAGGTATAGCCCCTATTTTTCCGCTTCCCAGTAGGAATACCGATGAACACTGGAAATGTAGTGCAGATCGTGGAAGTGCAGTCCCTCCAGATAATTCCCATTTTGACCCCTGACAACAAAAAACTGTTGGTTTTTGTCTGCATGCCTTAACCAGATTATTTCAGCTGTGCCAGTACCATGAAAACCCCCACTCTTTGTAGACCTAGTTCTGCCAGGCTGGCGATTTCTCCCTCTGAACAGAGAAGAATATTAAGATGCAAGAGCAATTTATACATTCTCCTTTACTAGGTCTCATCAGTGTAATTCTATTATTAAAAATGTTTAAAACATACTTGCAAAATAAATAGTAAAGTGAATAAAACCCCTACATAAGGACAAAGTCTACATCCAGCAAGAACATAGGAAAGCCGTATCCTTTTTGTCTTGGTTTTGGCAATAGAAAGACAGTCCTAATGGAGAACACAGGAGAGCAAATAACAGCAGAACTGACAAGATGGAGGAAGTAATTTCTCAGACAGTGAGAATGTGCAGGTGATCATTTGCTCTACTGAGACCAAGATTTCTCTTTTTTGGCTGGACATGTCAGAAATATGCACAAATCTCTAACTGAGGTTTCGTCTTTGCCCTGTTTAAGAGGCTCATCTCACTTAGTTTTCTGGTTGCTTTCTGCTGGACTGGCTATAAGGAAAAAATGATGGAATTTCTAGGAGCAAAATAACTGTATTTTGGAATTGTCATTTCTTGGCAGTCATGAGCAACGAACTACAATAAGATACATTGGGAAGGAAATGCTGGAAGGAGTCTGCTCGGTAAAGATCTGGAAAGTGCAAAAATGAGCAAAAATAAACAGTATTTCACATTGATAAAACACATCTGACAGGCTTAAAATACAATGGTCAGCTCAGCAAGAGAGTTGAAATTAAAACTGAGTAGTTTCAGATTTTCTGAAAAGGATGTTTCTGAACAGTCTTTGTGTCTCCAGTCGTGGATGTAGCTCTTCAGATCTCACTAAGGCATTTTGCTGCCAAGTTAGTGTTAGACTGCTGGTCAGGAGCACCAAGAGCATCTTAACGTAGTAGGGGTGTGTCCAGGTGCATCCAGTGGTAGGGACAACAGCCTGACCTCATGCAGTGAGTCATGGCAACAGAGGCTGGTTCTAATCAGGTATCTTACCTCTGCAGGGTATTGTTATAGAGATTGTGCAGCTGCTGAATAGAGTGAGTGAACAGAAAGAACCCAACAGCAACGTTAAAAAAAAAAAAAAAAAAAATAAATTTGACTCACTACTCACTGATACTCACTGAATAAACATCCCCTGAAAAATTAAGATTTGGAGGAACCAAAACTACTCACAAGTTGGTGTCAAGTGCCAGCCTGTGTGGTGGCATTGTGCAGGGTGAGAAATACTGTGAGACTTCATACTGACTTCTTCAGAATGAAACGAATCATTCCATAAATGCCAAAATGCTTCAAATAACACTCTGGGACCAAACTGATTTTTACGAATTTAAAATCGCTTCCCCTACCTATTTTTCAGTTCAGCAAGAGATAAAAAATAAACAAAGTGGGAGCTGTATCTGACCAAGAGCAGTCACAGAATGTGTATTGGGGCATTTCAAATAAGGCCCTGGTGAGGACAATGTCACACTCTTAGAAATCAGGGGTTTTTCCAATGTGTCTGCCTCATCCTGAGCCGTAACAGCCTCAGATGTGAACAATACCAGAATGCACCTGCTCAGTCTGTTTTTTTGGCTGACACAGTGAAGCAGCGATCAGACTGAGGCTGAAACATTTATGAGAGAGAGTCATGAAGGGCAGAAAACCCAGAAATGTATTATTTACTGGACATGTCCTTTATTCCCTGTTCATGGGTAATTCATTCAAATTCTGCCCTTCTGTCGGGTGAAGTGGATATGAAGTAACATCCTCGAAGCGACCTGTGTTGCTCCAGATTTACGTGACTGGATCCGCCTTGGAGCATTTTATGTTAGCCATGTCTCACAGAGTGCTCTGTGCCTAGGGCTCAGAATATTCCCAGCCAGTTTAATCTTCACAAGCTGCCCTTGCAAGGCAAGCTGCATATGTGTTTACAGATCTAGCACTATCATTTCTTACTCCTCGAGTTGATTAACCTGTCAGAAGTGAATCTGTTTCTTCAGACCTCTATTTTTGCAGGTGCTCCTGGTATAAAATGCCTCAACGGTACAATTACGAACGAGACAAAATGTGCAGACGCTTTATTTGGCATGGAAAGAACCCAAGGACACAGCCCTGCTACGGTTGCAAAAATAAAAAACGAGTGTGGGGAACTTGGCCTTCCTCAGTGGAAACTCAACATTTGGGTGGCCTTGCTGCAGCCTGTGTGGGGCTGGCAGTCACTGTCTCTGAATGAAGAGGCTGACTTTAACCTGGATCTCTATCAAATCCTCCCTCCGTGAGACCGTGCATTTGGCAGAGGTACTGACAGAAATTCTCTGGCTGAGAAATCGCAATCAAATCCTGTTAGGCATAATATCTTGAGAAGGGGGTCTATTAGTTTAAAATACTGGGGAAGTTTGACTGTGGCTGTTTGGCATTTTCTGCAGTTGCTGATTTATTTGAATTCTCCTTCAGTTATAAAAACCCCAGACTTGAAAACAGTATCAAGGAAAACAAAACCACAACAAAAAAAGATTTGCAAGGATCAGAGTGTTTTGTAGGGGCCAGATTAAATTCTTCCAGTGTGTGCCTTCTATACATCACCCCTCACTTGTGTATGCACAGCAGATAACCATGCAGCCCTAACTGCTAGGCTATTTGCTATGTTTATTGAGCTAGCAATAAATTCTGAGGTTAGTGCCTGAAAAAATAGTTGAGGTGGGAGGAAAATCCTTCCTCTCATAAGAAGGAGGAGGTGGCCCTAAATCAGTGCATCCACCCCCAGCTGCCCTGCTACCATGGGCTCAGTGTGCATACAGGTGAATTCCACATAGGAAAGGCTTAGGGACCAGCCCTCTCTGATGCTCCCCCTTCCTTCCACAGCAAATTCCCGTCTCTAGGTTGCTCAGCAGCTTGCAGTGGAGGTGCAGGGGCCACAGAAGTGTATTCTGATGCCCAAGGCAGGCTGCCAGCTTGGTGTGCCATCACCAGCTCTCCCCAGGCCTTACGTCAAGGGATATTAAAAATACAGTCTTGGTCCCAGTTCAAAGCAGTGCTTGAACTTCATGACCTGTCCCTGGCAGGGAGCGTGTGTCACTGCTTGCCATGTCCTTTTCATAGTCTTACAAGGGGTAGGACTTGTAACTGCCCCACTGCGCACCATCCTTGGGTTTTGGGAATTTTGATGTTTGTCTCAAAAAGAAACACCTGACTCCACAGCTTTTACTTGCCCAAGGAAAGCTCATAGGCTCAGACCTCAGGCTGTTTGTGAAGCCTGTCAAAACCCATTTGTCTAGGAGATAGCAGCAGCAAATATCACAGTTAAGTCTAAAAGGCACTTCTATGCCAAGCTCATTCTAGGTCACTAACTTCCTAAGGGTATTCTTCCAAGAAATAGCTTCATCTTGAGTAGTTCTGCAAGACGAGAGAGACTGTGAGTTATAATTAACCCCTTCTTCACAAGGAAAAGCAAGAATTCTTCAGTCTATCACATTTATCACTCATTATTTATTCAGGCTAAGACTTCTCCCTCCTAGGGCTAATATTAGAAAATAAAGTTACAAGTAAATAGTAGATTTGTATGAAAGAAAATAATATTTGCTCTTTCAAAAAAGACGTTATGTTATTTGTGCATCTTGGGCAGTATTCCCGCTTCTTTTAAAAAAGTAAATACAGTGTATTCAAAATTAAAAGAAATCTCACACTGAAACAGTCCACCAACTCCAGTAAAAGGCTTCACTGCCTGGAAAAGTCAGATACCCATCAGGAAAGCCACTGTAGCAAAGACAAGGAAATACAAGAGGCATACAGATGCAGCTTTGAAGAAAGAGATGAAGCCATGTAAGAAGTGCAATGTGGATGGCTAATTAAAACTAAAATGGAAGGGAAGTAACAAATTACAAAACTAAACAAATAAAGCCAGCTAAATGATGAAAGGAGTGGAGATAAACCAGTCTGGGACAGTCCTACTAAAATGCATGGAGTTTGCACATCTTCATCAGCTGCTGTTAGAAGGTTGTGGTAGAACGACTACTGGGAGGGACTGGCAGAAAAACTACCTGAGCCAGTGGTTACCTTGTCTTCTAAAAGCCATCTGGGTCACAAGCAAGAGACAGGAGGTGAAAGACATGCTTATTCTGAGGCTCAGATTCTAAAAAGTTGTTCCCTTAATTAAACAAAAGTTTTACGATTTTTATGTGAGCCTAGTGCTCAGCAAGTGTTAAAAAAGCACATCGTATGTTAAGAATTTTTGGAAAATGGAGAGCAGAATAGAGAACAAACATCTCTATGCCAACGTGTGTGATGCACCTGTATCCAGGACTCTGCACAGTTCCTACCTCCCTCTCAAAAATGGTGTGGGAAAGCTCGGCAAGGTTCAGAGAGAGCAACAGTAACAAGTGCAGGTATGGAACAGCTGTGTGGAATGTGCCTGACTAGACTTGAGAGGCTGGAAGAAGAAAAAAAAAGGAAAAAAATCTTAACAGTCATCAGTAGGCTGGAGGTGAGAGCACAAAACTGTCTTTTCCTTTCTAAAAGGTGTCTTCAAATGAACTACAGGGCAATGGGTTCAAAACAAACAAAGACATATGTCTCTTCACAAAGCACACTTAACTTGGGTAATTCCTTTCCAGGGGATGTAGTGGATTTTGAGATGTGGATTCAAAAAGTGATTAGACAAATTAACAGAAATATCTATTTATCTATGCTATTAAATAAAAATGCCTCAGTCTCAAGAAGTCCACAACTTTCAAATTGTGTGGGAGGGTGTTCCAGAGAAGCACCCCCAAATGTTTGCCCTGGTCATTATTAGACTCTTCACGAGCTTCTGGGCAGGGCTGGGGATGGGATGGGACCAAGGAGACCCTTGGTCTGCCCTGGGACAGCCAGTTCTGCTCTGATGCACTTACCTGTTTTGCTGCCACAGTTCAGCTCAGCCTCCAGGACAGAAGCTTCTGCTACTGGCTCTGAAATGGCCCTCTGACAAGTGGTTTGTCTGTATCTCTGCCTCTGGACTGTTTACATAAATTGTCAAAGTCTGGTTCTAGCTAAGGGGCGTATGCCAGAATCCATCAGGGTGAGAACACCTGCGGAGTGCACTGGGGGTCACAGAAGCCTCTGCAGAGTATAGGAGTCAAATATATTCTACCAAAATGAGAGGAAAGGTAGGATAATGTAGGGTTCATATTTTATCTACTGTTTTCTGTATTTTAAAAGAAATGTTAATCTTAAAATCTGTCACAAGCTATAGCATCAGTTCTAGTCTCTGTTATAGTGATAAAAATGATAAATTTGTGCTGCAGTCTCACTGTTGTCTAAAAATAAATACCTTAAGATGGTATTGCATTACCTAGGTACACAATTTTCATGGAAAGAATCAGCAACAGGCCTATGATCAAACATGCAGAAATACAAACTGTTAAGCAGTATCTCTTTCAATGTATTTGGGGAAAAAAAAAAAAAAGCCCTCCCTTGAAAAATGTAATTTTTTCCTATGGAGTGTGAAATTATCATTCTTCCGAAGATTATACCAGAAATTCATATTTTGTGTAAATACCACAGGACTACCCACAAAAATATAATATTCAGAAACAATGCAGCTATTTAGTGTTCTGGTGGGTGGGAATCTTTTACTTGAAGTAATGAATGTGTCAAAAACTTGTCCTCCAACTTGTCCAGAAGGACAACTGAGACCAAGGTAAAACCATTTGCCAATGGAGCACAAAGGGCCCGAAGAGGGCACTGAAGGAGTGACTTACGGAATCAGTGTATTGCCAGCTCCTGATGATTTTACCTTGAGTCTTGTGATAACTAGACCTTTCCCTAATGCAAAACAACAAGACAAGGACCTCGGTTTTGACTTAAAAATAAAAGATAATGACTCCTGGACGGGGAAGCTCTGCTCTGACCTTCACGCACCACCTTGCCTTTGGAGCGAGCTTCTCTTGGCTGGCTGTGCTCAGTGACAGGGTAAATGCCATGGCAATGATTTTCCATGTGACAGGAAGCCTGTGCTAGGCTGGTGAGCTGCCAAGAATTTTGGACAGATGACATGGTATGCAAACAGATTGAAATGGTGACAGGAAGGGGTGGGAAGGAGTGATGACAGGTCGCTTAAGGTTTTACCCTTTTGGTTAGTCTCTTTTGACCCACTTCCTCCCTGACCACAGGTGACACTGGGACAACTGTTTTCCATCTTGGCACAGCTTCTGTCAGTTGTTGCATCTGTCCCTCAACAGGTTTGACCAGTTTCAGGGTTGATGACCCAAGCTTCTTCACAGGATCCTTTGGATCCTCCCTGTCTCCTCCATGCCATGGCTACTATGGAGAGACATTAAGAAATTAGCATTTTAAGTTACCACGAAGTAGATTCAGAGCAATCCACATGGAACTGTGCTAGAAGAAAATTCATGGCAAACATTAATTAGTGCACTAAATATCTTGATAAATCCTATTGGTAAAAACATTTCAAAAAGCTTTCAGTGTAGCAAATACCTATCCCTACAACTAGCCTGGTCTGAGCATTAAATTAGAATAGAGGTGATGGAAATCGAATATGCAGAATCTGCTTGTCTTAGTGACGATACCAAGGTGTCAGCTCACTTTCTTAATGGAAATTTTGCCTGTTTACTTGAAAGTTATTTAGTATGTGTTTCTTGGTAGATAGACTTGGTAATCTATGTAATGATCTTTAGTTAACTGATGTTCTGCAAGGAGCATCTTTTTTTTCTGACTGGTGCTGGGAATCAAAATTAAAAATCACGATGGAGGGAAGAAATGTAAAGATATTTACATAAGGGTCCTCTAGAGCACTACAGATTTCCCCAACATATAGACGATGAAACAAGTGCAACAGCAAAATTAATGGCCCAATCACCTCAGATCTTGGAGGCCCAGGGTCTGTGTCACAGACTTCTAGAGCAACTATTTAAAGCTAATCATGTACGCCACTGATACACAAGCACAATCAGCCAAAAGTACGCGACCTTCTTGGTGAGTTTCTTTGAAATGCAAACAAGAACCTGACAGCTCAGAGAAGCTAAGCCTCTTTAGTTTAATAATGAAGAGCAAATTTTCTTCCATTTCTTCCCATAAAACTGTGGCAATGGAGTGTATCGCTTGTTTTCAGTATTACACAGGAGTTCAGAGGTGCTTAACAGTGTGAGCAATTTCAGAGCTTGAACAGCTGAAATTGACCATACGTTGCTCCACCCTCTCTGATCTCTAGGAAGTATGAATTACTCCATTAACATTCACGTGGTGCTGTTTTCACTGCACTGGACTCCTCTGTGCAGAGCCAAGGACCTAATCAAACACATAATCAATCAATCTGCTTGTCAGATACAAACAGCAGACAAAAGACTTTTGTGTCCTACACAATTGCCTTTTCAGAAGAAAAGTGAGCCACTGGTTTCAAAGATCATGTAATACACAAGTAATGCATGAGAGGCCAGAGCCCGTGGTGCTGTGAGGGAACCTTGTGACCGGATTCCTGACAAGGGACATTTCTGACGGGTTACTCACACTGCCCTGACTGGTGTTCTGGAATTAGATAGTATGAAAGAATATTCTAAAAGATGACTGCAGTCACCGGAGTCAAAAGCTTCTTACAAGTTAACAAAAGACAGAAGGGGGCAGTTCTTTGGCTTTAGCATCACTGAGCTCTCATGAAGAATGAACTCATCCTACAGAACTCTCTGCACAGCAGAAGGGAAAGCAACAAAACAGCTCAAGTTTTTAAACATCTCTTTTGGATTCTCAAAGGATAACAAAAAGGGAGATACATGACATCCATTCTTGTTTTGCCTCCTTTTTTGGGGAGACAGCAACTACTGTCTTGAGACCTCTGAGACACTGAAATGAGACAGAGTTGAAAGCAATTTATGTGGGCAAATGTGGCCACACCCTTTTCTAACAGCCACAACACCTCACTGTAGTTGCGCTGTAAAAAACCCCTCCAGAAAAGCAACCATAATGCATACTTTGTTAAATCTTTGATATATACACTATGTCATTAAGTAATTTCATGTACCTATAAATTGCATTCTGCAACTTAGATCCTATTCAACACCTGGTAGAAACCTTAAGCACAAACTTAAACCAGTCCCAACTGATTTAATGAACTAATTAATTTTGTTAAAATTACTGTTAAAAAAGCCATTACCAGTATTTTAGATGAGTGGGAAACACTAGAGAGAATCAATTAAAAATTGTCACATGCCATGTTCACTTGGCACATTGCCAAGTAAAAATTCAATTGATAAACACTTTTTACAACCATGTAGGAATTTAACCATATGGAGTACAAATACTTCTCTACACAAGTTTCATAGGTATTTTTAAAAGGGCCTGACCTTCAATATAAAATGAAATCTGTTCAATGATTTCTGCAAAATCTATGCACCTTTAGAGAAGCTACACTTGGCCATTTATTTTGATGTATTACATTCCCTGGGCTTGCATTTGAAAGTTGTTCTGCTTCCTTTTAATCTCAGAATCATAGAATATGCTGAGTTGGAAGGGACCCATGAGGATCACCGAGTCCGACTCCTGGCCCTGCACAGAACACCCCAAGAATCACACCATGTGCCTGAGAGCATTGTCCAAACACTTCTTGAACTCAGACAGTTCTATTCTATGTAGAATACTTGTGGAAACATCCTAAGATATTTATGCAGTAGAAATTTGAACAGGGGCTTAAGTAGGGTTTCTGTAAGTTTGCTCTACAGCATCTACTGATAGACTGAAACAATTTTTATTAAGTAAACGGAAGAAATCCCAGTGTCATTACCACAGCAGCATCAGCAACTCAAGACCTGTGAAAATCATCATGGCTGGTGCAGAAGCCCATTATAACCATCGGCAGAGTCTTAAACATCTTTATTTAAATAGTCAAAATAAATATTTGATAAGGCAGAGCTAACCAAAGTACCACATCTGTTTGGTTTTGTTTCCTTAAAGCATAGCTATCAAAGTAACGTGAGTGCCACCTCCTGGTTTAGGCATGGAAACACTCTGGGTTGTGCCTATTGCATTCAAAACTTCCAACTGAAAGGTGTAGTTTTTCTTTTTTTTCTTTTTTCCTTTTTTTTTAAGTAACTAAAATGTTTATCTTCAACATTCACAGAATGTTGTAAGAACAAAAATAGATAAATGCAAGAATCCAGTAAGACCTGCTGACCTTTAGTGCCTAGAGCAAACTAACTATATAAATGCTTCACAAGTATTTTTCCTCAAATTTAACTTCATAGATGTCAAATCCTACTAAAACACAGGAATGACCATAATTTTAAGTAAATATTTAAGTGCAGTGGCTTGTAATGCAAGAAGTCGTCTAGGAATCAATGTGGAGTTTGTTCTCCAAACTCTTTTCTACCCTAAAAAATGCCTTTTTAAGTGAAATGTGTGCATCTCCTGTTCAGGAGGTGACAGAACCTAAGAGAGGAAGGCTGAGAAATTCAGCAAATGTACTACTACAAATGGCACAAAGAACTGCAGCCCATTTTATATCTGCTGCAACAGTCAAATCACAAAGCTGCTGAGAAAATAGGGTTAAATTACAATCTTGCACATTAGTGCAATCTGCACATAGCTGTGCAGGAGCAAAAGGTTGGACTCCTTTTGTTTCATTTCACACAACACCCACAAAAGTGTTATCACTGTTATGTCAGGGCCATTTGGTAACAGCTACCAAAGTTGTTTCAAAGCAACTTTAGAAGTAATTTAAGAAACAAATCTGCCCCAACTCATGTGTTGCCCCCACTGCAGACATAAAGACAACTACAGCTTCCTTGTGCCTGCATTAGTGAAGACAATTTACCAACACTAAGTAAACATTGGCTCTGGGTCTCTTATTTTCTCTCCATATTCAGTATAGGCTGGAAGTACACGAGCCCACATCCTGGGAGATGCGGCACCATGTCAATTCTGTATGGCATCATGTCCTATGGACTCCTAAATTTTGTCCCCCAGCATTTCAGCTGGCATTTACACCATTTCACCCACACAAACCCTGTTTATCTCCACAGGCTAGGAAACCACTGCTAGACTAAATGTTATGATTTCACAAACTCTGCACTCCTCTTCTGTATACTGACTTGCTGTAAATTAGGATCGGAACCCTCAGGTCTTCTGGAACACACACAGCAACTTATATATATAATTTTAAAATGTATAACCCTTTGCAACAAAACCCATTCATGTGTTTGATGTCTCAGCAAATTCTTATTCATGTTAAGAAGACGGACACTTATTGCACTTGTATCCCACAGCAGCAAGCACTTCCAGGAGGAGGACCACGTCTCTTTCCTCAGTCGCCATCCCCACACTTTCTCACCCTAAAGCAGCAACAGTCCATGATGGATTCATCAGCATTTAACCAACTCCTTGTTTGGCAAAGGTTCTGCAACGACTTCATCACGCATGAACTGCTCCTAAAGACAGAAAGCAGGGTTTTAGTTGATTTACATTATTTTTGGATCTCCAGCAAAAAACCCCATCAGATACAGGCTGGAAAACAAAGTGATTTTAACTGGTATGAATCTGTCTCCAAAAACCTGAATGCCGTAAGCTGCCAAAAGCTGCCAGGCTGCCGACAGGGCTGCTGGAGTCAGTCACAGCCTTCACCCCACTGCGATCGCCCTGTCCGTGTCCCGCCCCACGCCCACCGAGCCACGCGCGTTTTAAAGCCCAAACACGGCAGCAGGAGGCCAGAAAAACTAGAGCTCACGTAGAAGAGCCAGTCCCAAACCAGGGATATTTAAACGCCGCTCCTGCGCTTCCCGTCTGGGGCGGCGAACCGGGACCCGGCTGGAACCGCGCCCGGCGGCCCTGCCCGCACCCACCTGGTCGTAAATGACGCGCAGGATCAGGGAGCAGCTGGGACAGGTGGCCACGTCCTCCCCGTTCTCCAGGTCCTCCTGCAAAAGCGCCGGGAAAGCGGTCACGGCCCCGCCGCCTGCCCGGCCCACGGGCAGCGTGGCGCTGCTCTCCTCCCCGCCCCCGCCCGGCCGCCCCTCACCCGCGTGATCAGGAACCGGTCCCCGCAGGGGCACGGGTAGCTGTAGGTCTCGGTCTCCTCGTCGTACTCGAAGTCCTCGATCTCCACCTCGTCGTGGAACACCGCCATGGCGATGGGAAGCGGCGGGAAGCGGCGGAGCCGGCACCGGGCGGAAGGGAAGAGGCGGTGCCTGAGGGGGCGCGCGGGCGGAGCCTCCCGTCACGTGATGCGGCGCCGGTAGGGGCGGTGGGAGCGGGGCCGGGGGTGCTCGGGGTCTGAGGGAGGGATCGGCTGGGAAGGGGATGGGGGGCACAGGGAGGGCCGGGAGGTCAGCGCGCTCGAGTACCCCCGGCTCGCCCCGTGCTCTGGCGGGAGCACTGCACTGCGGTCGGGAGCGGCGGCCGGGCCGCCCGTGCGGCCGATGGCGCTGCCGGCTCCAGCCCTGACCTCCTGCCCGGCGACCCCGAGCGGCTGCGGGGGCACGGACGGAGACTGCCGCGATCTTGTCCTTCTTCGTGTCCTTGTGCTTCCCCTGCCCCTTGTCCTGCCCTGCCTCTTGTCCCTCCCCCGGCCCTTGGCCCCCTCAGTGCCGCCCCGCCTCAGCCGGGCCGGGCTGCCCCGCGCCCCCTGCGCTCACCGAGCGCCCCTCTGTGCGGGGAAACGGGGAAAAATTTCACTGCTTTCGCTGCTGACTTCTGCAGGAGGTGCTGTTGGTACCTCTTACCGAGGGATAGCTTCTGGTAAAAGATTTCCTCATCCTACTTGCTTAAGTACCCTTGCTGCCCCCTCAACACTCCCTTGCATTAACTTACACAGTAATTTGCTCTTCGGTGTGGTATGGGTGAGCAGAAAGTAATTCTCCCTTCAGATAGTAATGTAGGATTGAGAGTAAGAAGAGATGCAGTCATAGATCTCAAGCAATACTAACTAACCCTGGGTGAGTGGGTCAGAGGAGAAAAAGAATGAACGATTAATTGATTATAAGTGAGGAGAAGGAGTCACATGTAACAGTCATAAAAGTAGCACTTGTTTCTCCCACGTAGCAAAAAGAAGTGTATAAATGCATATAAATATCTAAAGAGGGGGTATCAAGAGGATGGAGCCAGGCTCCTCTCAGTGGTGCCAACCACAAGGACACGAGGCAATGGGCAGAAACTGATGCACAGGAAGTTCCACCTGAACATGAGGAATAACTTTACTGTGTGGATTACTGAGCACTGAAACAGGTTGCTCAGAGAGGTTGTGGAGTCTCCCTCGTTGGAGATATTCAAGAACCATCTGGACACAATCCTGTGCCATGTGGTCTAGGATGACCCTGCTTGACCAGGGAGGTTGGACCAGATGACCCACTCTGGTCCCTTCAAACCTCACCCGTTCTGTGATTCTGTGAAGTAAGGGGGTATTTGTAGTGGCTTTTGCTGTAATGGGTTGGGTAAGAAGGGAGTAAAGGGAGAATATCCCACCTGACAGGAGCTTGGGAGGCTGAAGCAGTGCCCTCCATGGAGGGCAGGGAATCGCCGAAGAGCTGGATGGATGGAGAAAGTCACAGGGGTGACAGATGGGGCAGAAGCTGTTCACCCTGTGGAAAGGTGTGATTCACACTTGTACATGGGAGAGGAGAACCAGGGCTCATTAAAAGACATTTTGGAATTTATTAGATACAGAGTAAAAAATGACAACTGACTTTATTGTCATCTTCATGATTGAAGAGTGATTGATGACAGTGTAAATGGAACAAGGATCTTGAACTACTGCTCAAGAGTAGTTTCTTATTTATGAGAGAGTCTCAAAGTAGTCTGTATCAATAGGATCTTTCAGCTGTGACTATAAAATTAGGCTGCCATTTATTTTGTTTTCAGTATTATGTATTGATACTGAACTTTGGTTGGTTTTTTACATTTTCATGTGTAGAACTGAGCAGATTTGCTTCCTGAAGAGGTAACAGTGAAAATGAGGAGAATGAGGATGGCTCATTTCAATGAGCATACACCTCAGCAGCAGAATTAAACAAAGGACATAAAATAAACAGTCAAGAATCTCTGCTTGGATTTTAAAGTTGTGCCACTTCTTTTACCAGCAGATGTTGCTGCATTTAGTAGCAATTAATTGCAGAAGGGGTCTTGAAGGTTGTGAGTTGATTAAAAAAGAAAAAAAAAATCTTTATTCTCAGTCCTAGGCCTCTGAAGCAAAGTGTCAGACTTTCTGTGGTTCATTTTGATGTTGTGGAGATTTAATTAAAGTCACAGGTATTGGTATAAATGGCTTACATAAGAGTGTCCACTTTCAAACATCCTTCATTTTTACTTTGACTTAGTTGATGTGGTAGAGTGAAAAGCATGAGAACATGAATCAAAAAGCAAGAAGCCTAAAAAAAAAGCAGAGATGTATATGTATATGCTATCTGAAAGACTCCAAATCCTAAACTGACCTCATGAATTTGAGAAACTTAACGATTTTTGAGCACTCTGCCTTTACATGCAAAATCCCAAGGTAGAGGAATGCGGCTCTTCATTAGATGTGTACTTTGTCATGCTAAAATATTTTAAGATTGTTAATACTTTTGTTATCAATAGCTTCTACACATTTACATGTAGAAAGTGCTAAAATGTTTTGTTTAAACACTTAAGTACCCTTTAAGTCCTCTGTAATGGTGTGAAAAAAATTTTTCACATAATTTTGTTTACTAGTGGTAGATGACTTTTAAATACTTCCATTTTTAAAAGTTGCAGGCTGCTGTGGAATTAAATGCTGAAAAGCTATTAAAAATATGGCTGGTAAAAGCTGCAGGAAAGTGGGCGTTCTTACTCTTGAAAGTGGGCATTTTGAGTAGTGACTTTTGAGAAATGCATTCCATTTCTGAGTGGCCTAATTTAAGGAAGCTCTGCCTCCATTTGTACAAGATTACAAACAGGACAAATTACTAAGTGACCAGCCAGTACAGCTGTTAGTAAAAGTCTAGAGAGCATAGTGCCATTTCAAAGGATTCAAAATGAAAAACATTTTGAAAATAAATTACGTGCCTTAAAAGAATGCAGGAGAAGAGATTTTAATGGAAATAAAATATTAATGCTTTAAAGAAGCAACGGACTGCATCGCAGAAATAATACAATTTGACAGGTGATGATAATATGATAGGGAATTATGCTAATCCATTTTAGGAAAAACAAAGGCCTACAAGGTATGAGAAATATCTCTTGGCTCTCTGATTTGCATGTCGTAAACGAAATGTGGTTCTGCCTTACTCTGAGTGCTGACCATGTCGGTTCATCTTTCTGTGTCACAGCTCCGTTTGAGTGCCCAGTTTTGCACCTTCTTCACACCATGTTTCCACTGTAGTGCATGTAAGTGTCCTCCACTTGCTTAGCTATGTAGAGATGTGTTATGTTGGGTACATGGAATGTGCTTTTAAATAAACCTGTGAACAAACAGGCTTAATTAAAGTTTATGTAATTGTCCAACCAGAACCCTTTCTATACCAATGGAAAGGGAATGCACAGTCAGTGTTGGATCTTCTTTCAAATATTGTTTGAACATTTAAAATCAGAGATATGTTGGCTGGGAGGCACTTCTGAGCATCATCCAGTCAGATCTTCTGCTTGGAGCAGGGCAGTTGTTCTGTTCTCACACTGGATTAAGCCAGTCCCAGGTATAGACCTTTGTAAGTCTTTTAGTGAACAAGGTTTCTGCTTTCCAGTCCTTCAGTTTCTCAGTGCCCCTTTGAAGTGAAGCTCTACTATTCAGGATGTCAATCATCCCTCTAACACAGTATCATCCACCAGTTTGCTGATCATAGAATGGCCTGGAAGGGACCTCAAAAGACCAACCCCTCTGCCATGGACACTGACACCTTCTGTGTCATCATCCAAGTTATTGATAGATTTATTGACCTGTGTCAGCCCCAATAACAACCCCAGGGTACTCTTATTACTGTTGTTAGCCAACAACTGAAGCAGCTTGAAGCCATCAATTCTGTCTGCCCAGACAGTTTTCAACCACTCCAGCAGTCCATCTGGCCTCGGCTCACTAACGTGCCATGGGAGGTGGTGTCTGGAGCCACAGCACCGTCAAGATGTGTTGTGTCCTGTCACCTTGGTTGCATGACCAGACATTTATTTCATCATGGTAGCTGTTCAGATTTATCAAACATAATTTACCCTTGGTAAATCTGTGTCCAGTATTCTTGATTACTTTCTTAGCTTTCACAGAGCTAATGGGACAAGCTCTGAGCATTTTCCCAGAGACTGAGATGGTGCCGACTGCTTCTTGCTTCTCTTTAAAATGACCATGCATTAGTCTCTTTCTAATCTGTTTCTAGACTTTGTGAGGTAACTGTTTTTCATAGATAACACACAGTTGCCTTACAAGCATGTCAGGCTGTGTCTCTTAGCAACCTTGAGTGTAACCCATCTGGCTCTGTGCATCTGAATACATCCAGCTTCTCTCAGCAGTTGCTGGCCCTGCTCCTGCTTATCCCTGTCCTTCCCAAACACCCCTGGTGCAAGCAGGCTTTGCCTGTGAAGACTGGGGCAAAAGGAGTGTTGAGTACTTCAGCCTTTTCTATATCATCTGTGACAAGCTCATCTTCCCCTTGTGAGAGACTGAAATGTTAATGACTCAAACAATCGGCCATTTTCAATAGCAGCGAGTTCTTTGCTTAGGCCAAGGTTTGCACCCCCCAGCTGAAGGGGAGGAGGGAGGTTTGGGTGTGTGGTGGTGAAACCTCTGATCTGCATAAGAGCAGCCCAGGTGCAGCAGGAGTGCATATCCACCACTGGAGGATGACCATGACAAACCAACCTTTGTTTAACAACGAGCTGGGTTTTGAGCCAAGTAAGGGGAAAGGCCAGAAGAAGCAGATCCTGTGGAGGTGGGATAATGCTTTTTTACCATGCCAGTTTCTTCCCTTACACAACTGGGTCAGGTGTAAAAATCCTTCCCCCACTGGGGGAGGTATCAGAATATTCATATGTGAGCCTGAAGATATTCATCACTTCTGATGGGGCATAACTGGCTCAACTGCACTGATTTGAGAGGCAGCTGTCAAGTCTTCTCTCTTAGAAGGTATCACTCTTTGATAAGTATCACTTATATACTTTCTTAAGTGATACTTTTATGCTGATGTATTTCTATAGATAATAACCAAAACGGCTACATACCTGCTTTCCATTGCAACCAAGCTGTTCTACAGTAAACCTCCCATATGTATGTGTGTATAAACACTGGTCATTCAGTGTCATTTCACTCTAATCTACCCCAAGGGATCTATTAGCAAGAGCCTCAGTTATCTGGCTTCAGGGGCAGGTCACAACACCCCTTCACTGGATTGATGCATATTTTCACTTTTTATGATACTTCTGTACTTCTAAAATTCCCTCTCATCATCCTGTATGTCTGTTGTTAGTTTTAGCTCCAGCTGACCTTTGGCCTTTTTGTTTCGAAGGGAAATAAAAGGTGAAAACAAGCCATGTCAACCACTGAGTGTTCTATTTAACAAATATTTATGATTATTTTTTTTCAGGAACCGGTGATTCTGAAGAGTTCTCAGTTGTCATGGCTCATTCTACTATTTATGTGGGTTGCACTGTTCCTCAGTTACTGAGAGGTGCTAGCAGAGTTTTTCCTTCTCATTCTGCATTGGGAGTGTTGAGGCACTCTGCTTTTTATTACTGCACTGTGAACGGGTAGGTTATCCACTTTTTCTTTTTTTTTCTGAGGCAATGCCATGGAAACACTGCCAAAATCAAGCTGACAAAGTACTACAGTCCTATAAATACTTAATTTAACTCCCAACTATATATTTATATATAATTCTTATTTAGATTTATGTCATCTGTAGTCTGGATTACACTGGTAAATTGTTATGTTAATAGAAATTCATATCAGTAAGGGACAGTAGCACAGCTGTCAAAATGACAATTATCTTTGTTTGCTTTTTGTTGCAGCACAATAAAATCAAAAAGGAAAATGGATCATCTTGAGAGGACAGCAAATAATTTTCGCCAGGAGGTTAGTGTTGTGTTCTTTAGGATGCAAGTAATTTCTTTTTTTTTTTGCTGTGAAGGCAATTGTATTGGATAATTGCATTTGATTCTTTGGCTCCATTTTCCATACTGCTAGAGTCTGTTTTACTTCTTTTTCTCATAATTTTTCATATTTGATGTTGCTATAAAATAAGCATATTTTGTACTCAGTGGGTGAAATGTAATGAGTTATAAAAATTGTCTGTGATGTGATGATATTTATTTTATGTTGGAAAGAAATTTAATAGAATTCTGGTCAAGTATGAATTATAATAAGTTATGAAAACACATGGATACTCATCATCTCTACACAGACTTCTCAGATTTTTATGGCTTTCTGTAATTCTCATCCAGATTTGAGATTAAAAAAATGTGGAAAATGTCCTTTTATAGCACAGGAGGTAAGAAAAAATGTAGACATTTTGAAAGGAGAGCTGATAGTTGTGAAAACGATCTTCGTTCATATCTGTTTTAATTCACAAATACAAGGTAGATAGAGCATTGTTCTCCCTCCAAATCCAGAAATGCTTATTCTGGATCTCAGTTTTGAGCAGTAAGCATTCTTTTTCGTAATGTTCAGAGGTGAACATACTCTTGTATTTCACACAGATATTTCCTTTCTGTAATAAGTTGAAGTAGATGTTTTGAAGTTTTTTGATATTGGGAGAATGAGTATTATTACTTCAGTTCTCAAAAATATTTGACTAATGAAAAAATTCTGCATTTTTCTTAGCCTTTTCAGGAGTTAAGGCACTTTTTTGACTGAAAAATCCCATCTTTAATGCTCAGGAGTTGGGAAAGGGTGCCCAGTTTTCCTCCATTGTTTAGTTTTGCTTACGTTTTCTGCTCAATGTGAGTAGCTAGAAAATATGTGGAAAATGGATCCTTATGAGGTATTGGAAGCTCTGGGGTGGTGCAGGGAACTGTTAAGGCCTGAGGAAGAGAAGGAAACTATGTGGGATAGTTGAAAGAGCAAGACTCAGTTCTTGCTACTGCACACATTCTCTGCATATCAGGGGATTATGCTGTTTCTTTTTTTAATGCTTGATTTATTCTTTGTTACTTTATTTCTGACCACTTTAAAATCAGTTTATTTTAAATCCTCGGCTTGGTTTCGAATTCCATATAATCAGCAGTTGGCTTCCCACAGTCAATATTGCCTTATTTGGCTATTTCAGTCCTGTAAAAGATGAAAGAATCATAAATCTGTGTTGCATTAGTGTGAATGTTACAGAACATTGCCTGTTGAAGAGTGATAATGTGAAGGACTAGGGTAAGAAAATGTGCCTAATGCTTTCTTGAAATACAGCTGCAAAATCTGGAGTCCTGTGTCCTCCTGCCTCTCGCTGCAGCCTGCTCTGGGCCGGTTGGATGCCCTTGTGATGGTCCAAAATACTGATCACCCTGACGCAAATTTAATTCTTGAAATAACTTTATCCTGATTAAGAATTAAATTTCCAGTGCTCTGTCTGCTCTCTCAGCCAGATAACAAATTAGGGAGTGTACTGAAGAGTAAAGAAGGGAATGAAGAAGACCTAAACCTAATGTCTGTTTCCTGCACTTAAAGTTTCTCCACCAGAACAGCCATTTAAGTCATGTATTTGACTTTTCTCTCATTAACTTAGGCTGACTGTGTTCCCCATTTAATACTGTCTGCCAAAGTGCAACAGAAATCTATGCTACTTCATTTTAAATTAGCAAATGTCCTGCTGTTTCATGGGACAGGGGACGTGTTCAGATGTTACTTTATGAATAAATTAATTTCCTGCCATGTGTTTTAAATTACAGCATAGTTGCTTAAAGTTTTTGGTTTTTTTTTTAATCTGTTTGATCTTACACAAACGAGAAATGATTGAGTTGTGATGGTATTATGAGTATTTCCTACTGTGGTAAGTGACATCAGCATCTTTTAACCAGAGTGAAATCTGTATATCACCCTGTGTAGGAAATATTTAGGGCACTGCTTTCTTTGTAGACGAAAAAGTTTAATAACTATAACTCAGAAATACCTGAAAAGGAAGGGCAGGGAGGGGGTGAAAATCCATGTTGTACTGATGGTCATCAAAGAGTTTAAGTGGGGTGCTCATCCTCAATGGCCCTGTGGCAAAATCTGCTTTACATTTTTCATCTTTTTTTTTTTTTAACTCTTTAAAATGGTATCAACCATGGCTCTGACATCCTCTCCTGTATGATTGCCAAACAAAAACTCTTCTGTTAACCAGCAATAAAAACCTTGTGCTGTAGTTTCCCCATGTTCATAGATAAAGTACGTGGTCAAATGGGGAGGTGTAAATGCAGGAACTCAAGGCTCATTGGTTTTCTTTCATTGATGCACTATACATTTGATTCAGTAATGCATTTAATTACTTAAATAAAACTAGTTATAACTCCAGAATTCTCCCTTGTACTTCAGTTGCAGCTGGTCTTTAATAAGTGTCCTTTGTCAGTCTTTGTATCAGAAATCTTTTTACTTTGTTGCTGGAAGATGCAGGAGTGTGTGTCTTGTCTGAAGAACCTGAAAAGGGATAAGTAGCAATCACTTCTCTTTATAGTTATGCTTTCAACTGAAAATTGAAAGTAAGTTTGTATATAATCTTAGAATAAATCTGACAAAAGTGACAGACATGATGGACTGTAAGTACAAAAATATTTCTCTATTCAATGACTGTTTAAGTAAATCATAGAATCAAAAAATGGTTTGGATTTGAAGGGACCTTAAAGACCATAAAATTCCAACCCTCCTGCCATAGGCAGGGATGCCACTCACTAGATCAGGTTGTTCAGCGCCCCACCCAACCTGGCCTTGAACATTTTCTTGAAGCTTTTGTTTTTCTACCCCAGTGAAAAAATATTAGTGCTGTAGGTAATGAAATGCTGCAGATAACGTGGAAGGGATAGATACTTCATGCACAACTTCCTGAGTACTTTTGCTGCAAATGATATCTACAAGTCACAGTGGCTTCTTTTCCTTTTGTCAGGTAATTACACAGGCAAAAGTGTGTGGAATCACCAATGAATCGGAGACAGTCAAAAGACTTCGTTTGGCTATTGCAAATAAGGATTTTACCTTCAAAGCAGGACAGTGGTAAGATCTTTCAGTATTTGTGGGAGAAATTACTATAAGTCCACTACAGCAGAGTGTTAAAAGGCCTCTCAGATCCTTGAGCCTAGGAAAAAAATTGTTAATTTATGTAATACGATGCTTTCTTACTGGGTGCTCTGTCAAATAGCTGATATTTGCCTTAATTTTTAAATAGTCATTATAAAATATGCTAATATTACTAATGAGAGGGCAGAAATTGATGTTCTTTAAATGTTCAGTTTGATTGTTTTGGTGTTTTCCTCTGGTTTTATTACATAGTTTCTTCAAGAGTACTTTGAAGTTCCATGCACTGTATTCTGCAAGCTGTCTTTGCTGTCTTTGTTTACTAGTTACTTTACAGTGGAGCTGAGACTGCTGCTTTGCAAGTTACTCAGTTTTGGTTTATAATTAAATCAGAGTTCCTTGCTAAGTTTTTTTTTTCCTCTTGAAGTTTCTCTAATTCTGAAAATTAAGCCAGTTAGGTCAGTGTAATATATTAATATAGATAAGCAAATTTGAAAATCAAAAACTTGAATTATTAACCCTTTGAAAGAATTAGCTGTTTGTTTAAGCAATTTTACAGGTCTCTTTTTTTTTTTTTCAAGGAAGTAGTGAATATTCACGTTTGTCATCCTTCCTTGTTAAAATTACTCTCACTCTGTCACTTTTTTTTTTTTTTCTCTTAGAAATTAATTTAAAACTATGAGTAGTTGCTTTTGGCAACGGACATTTAAATGTTTTTAAACTTTTTATCGGCTTAGGCCATCTGAAAGTGGTTTTGCTGGAATCAAAGGATAGCTGCTAGGGTATTAACAGCATATGTTACTCATGGAGTGTTAATATGCTGGCTTTTAAATTTAGAACCAGAACACAAGATGCTGATTGCAGTAATTTGTTTGTGAGTAATTTGCTGCAGTTTTTGCACATGTGCAGTGACTCATATTAAATTCTTGCTTGCCAGTACTTGGAAAGAGCGTTTACCCTTCAAAAGTGTTTTTGAAATTATCGTGCTGAAAACTGAAAGCTTTAATTATAATTACTCTCCTTCATTTTCTTCTTCCTTGAAAGTATTCTAATGCTGTTGTAAGGTATGCAACAACTTTTCTGTACTTGTAGATATAAACTGTGGTTGCATTTTTTGATGAGCAGTACAAAATACCAGGCCATGGTTTCCTGAACAAAAAAGGCTAACTTGTTAGCATTTGCTACAGTAAGATGTCACAGCCAAAGACTGTCACTAAAACGTTTAAATTTTCTGAAGGTGTTCTAACCATTGAGATTTTTAGAAGCAAAAGTGAGTTTGTTTTGCAAGCACGCTGGCAGATACTGGTTCTTTATTGGACTACAAATAATGATGAAGAGACTTGTTGCTGTTACTCATTTTGATTTACTAGAACATGTATTGAGGTGTATGCATGTTACAAAGCTACTTCTTCAAAGTGTTTATAGTTTTAATGTTTCTAATCTCCTCCTCCAGCAATCAGTAATTATTGTTCATTTCTTAAGGGTTTGGCTTAGTTAGCCTCTAAAAGGAGGGAAATGCAAAACCACACTCAGATCTCTGGTTTACATCTTTTCTGCCTCTCCTTGTTGTGGGTTTATGTGTAAGGGTTTTCTTTCTTTTTTCCCTTCAGCTACTCTTTTCCCTTAAGCTGTCACAGGTAGCATTTCTTAAGGGGCCCTCTTAATCCTTCCTAGCTGGGCTAAGATAGGCAAGCCATCAGAAATATGGGCTTGTCCACTATAATGCAGTATACTGTGCCCCACAATCTCTCAGAACTATGTAATTGGGAAAGAACTGCCAATATGGAAAGAAATGTACATCTGCATTAGTATTTTAGAAAGGCAAAAACTATTTTTGATTTAGGTTTTGGAGCAATGTTTGGTTTTGTGTGTGTGTTACCCCAGGGGGCACAGATTGACTTGAATGTAAATTGTTACTTTACAGCACAAATGCTTATTTTTTTGTTAATGTATGATTGTTTTCCACCAGAGGGAGGTAAAGAGCTTCAGTAGCATCGTTTGATGTTCTTTGCTCTGATAAATGCTGCCTTATAAGAGTTGTCCTTTCTAATTTCTTGGAGCCTGACTGCCAGGAGGGCTGGGCCCCACGGGGCAGTGGGGCTGCAGAAGCTGAGGACAGTGAAATGAGCCTTCTCAACTTTTTTGGTTTTTAACCTTTCTTTTGCAGTCTGATATCTTTATACACCATCAGGTTTATTAGCATAAAGTTAAAAATTATATCACCGTTGCATATTTCGCACTTTGTGCATTCTTAGAGCGAGGATACTATTGGAGCTATGAAGCTAAAGGGTGAAGCTTTGTGGAGAGTTAGCAGGCAAGATTTTTTTTGTTAAAAAGTCGTGAACTATTCAAAGTGCTTCTCTCTCCCCTCAAGCAATTGCAATTTCTGTAAAGGATACAGCCTTGCTGTTTAAAGAAAATATCTGTGCAGTTGGTATTTCTTGTTGCATCCTCATTTAATAAATACTGAGCCAGCCTAATCCAGGCTTGAATTGAATAACGATTCTCTAGTACTTGGCATTGCTTATCAGTGTGGTTGTTTCCTAAGGGGAAGAGCACAACTAGTTTTATATAAACATTAGGTTTATTTTGAAATACAGGGATTTTGTTATGTGCCGTAGAAAACAGAAGTATTTTAAGATTGATGGAACACGGGAGAGTTCAGATGATGAACCATAAAACAACTTCTAATTTTTTTTCTGGTAGCTGACTATTTGGAATATCAAAGCCTTACTTTTATGAGAATGAATTATGGCTTATATGTAGTAATGGCTTGCCTTCCTTACTCTCTAGTGTCTGGTGTTGCAGAAGCGTAGTTATATGTTACCTTCAAATCTGTAGAAACCCAGGCGTGGTTCACTTGTAATTAAAAAAAACCAAACCAAACCAAACCCCAAACCCCCAAAAAGCAGGGATTTATTCCAGTTCAATTTCCTAACCTAGAAAGTGATATCTGCCACCAGAGGGAGCTGCAGTTCAGCTGCCAGTAACCGACTTTTCCCAGGAGAAATTTTTTACACACTGTTGGTTTTACTGTTTCATCTTCCCAGGAAAAGAAAGTGTTTAATCTGAAGTCATTTCCCTAAAATTAGAATCCCAATCTTCTTATGTTTTAAAATGGAAGAGCCCATCAAAGGGACCAAAAAGAGTGGGATTTAAGCCACTCTTATTCAGACCATGTTGTGTTTTTGTTGTAATACTCAAATAATTTATTTAAAACACTTGGAATTCTAGTCTGTTGTAAGATGTGACATCTAATGCTAAAACCAGTCTGGTTTTATACCATCTAGTTTAAAAAACATGACTTGTTTCTAGATGAAAGTAATACTAAAGAAATGGCGTTACTCAAGATTAACTCATTTTTTGGAAAAATTTTGTTACGGAAACGAAGATGTTGTAAAGAAAGGATAATTGAAACAAAGGCAGCCATATTGTTTACCATGTTTGGGGTTGTTGGCTTCTTTTTTAAAATTCTGTTTCTGGTCTATTTTTAGGGTTGATTTCTTTATTCCTGGAGTGTCTGTAGTTGGGGGATTCTCCATATGTTCAAGCCCTGGCCTCTTAGAACGAGAAGGAATACTAGAGCTGGCAGTAAAGCACACTGTTCATCCTCCTGCTCACTGGATTCACACTGAGGTAAATTATATTAACTGTGAGATTTGGCTCTCTATGTGTTTGTTTGCTTGTTTGTGGGGTTTTTGAGATGTGGAGAGGGTTGTGTGTGTGTTTTTAGACCACTTTGTGCTATTGACTGCAAAAACTCATGTTGGCTTGTTCAACCACTTTTAATGCAACATAAGTCTTAAAACCTATTGTTCAGTAAGAGACTGAAATTGGATGTTTCTATGGTAATATGGTTATTGCAGCCTTTTGACTCCACCTGTGCTTACAGTGGACTTACAGTGATATTGTAGTTAGTGCATATAAGGGAATGGAATTAATGAACTTAAAAACGTTGAAAACTCTCTGTTCTAACTTGTGTCCCTGAGAACAGTGTTACACCTTACAAAGCTAATCTGATAACTTTCCATAATTCCTGAGCATTTCTACAAATATGAAATGGAAATCATTGATAAATCACAGATAAAGATAGATTATTAAGGGGGATCTAAGGGAGATATCTAGATCAGTTTTTCTCAAATGATAAAACAACAGGATACTTTATGATTTCTATAATAATCTCTTATATATGCAATATTTTTGTAATATAGGCATATAACCCCCCAAGGCTTGATTTTTTTTCTATATTAAAAGCAAAGTCTGACACTTGGCCTCTTGCAGTGTTTTGTTCATCATTTACCCCATTTAGTTACAGTCAGAGGAATCACATATTTCATCAGTGATCTGTCCTATCAACTTTTGTTCTTTTCACAGTCTTTGGAGACTCTTTTAGGACTTCTGATGTCATAAATCAGTTTGTTGTTGCTAAGTTTGCTGGTTGAATTCATAGGATAAATCTTTAGTCAAGGGGTAAGCTACTCCAAACCTGATACTGTAGAGAAACCTCCAGGGTATATATGGACTCTTCTAGCTAAACAAAACTGCATGCTTTTCCTTAGGAAACAAGCAGAAAAAAAATAGCAACCTAGAATTTGAAAATGTTGTATGCGTAGTGAAAAAATTCTGGTACTTAATTGTTTAGAAGTTACTTCTAAAAGAAGTTGGTAACTCGGGGTAGAAGATGTTATGGGAATAGTTAGCACTCATTAGCTCACTGTATCTGGGGGTTTTCAGAGGTATTTATTTCTTAATATTACTGTATATAAATCATAAATTTTAGCACTGTGTACTTTTAGGTTTAGGAAAATGTAGCCTTTTAGGAGAACGTCCATGCGATGCATTGATTGCTTCACTTCTCTGCCTGAGCTGTGTTTACAAACACAGACTAAACATAGACTAAAGGACAACACTTTCTCATCATATTACTCCAGAATTTTACTGTTTTTTCTTGTATACTGACTTACTGTTATCATTGTCATGGCCAAAGCATGGAAATATGTGGGAGACTGCTGGTTAAGAGGGGTTCTCCCCATGTCCAGTCTTGACGAGCTGTGTCTAGTTAAGGTGGCAGATTATGTGTCAGTGAGGTTGATTCTCCCTCAAAAGGCTTATTTCCTCAAAGGGTACCATATTCTGTGTCCTCCTGCCGTGTGAATCTGGAACACTTGTGGATTCGTGCATCTCTAAACCAGGGTAAAAACATGGTGGGAAGGCCTGGCAGTGCATGTGAACAGGGAGAGAGAAATTGGTTTCAGATAATGAATGCTGATTGTCTTGCACTATAATTGAGAAACAATACTTCATGCAATAATTAAGAAAGGGAAGAAAGTTGGGGTTTTCTTTTTAATGATCATGCGAACTACTTTAGAATTTGTGTGTTCTGTGCAACACCTGAATTCGAAGGCCTCCTCCTTCCTCCTGGTGGAATTGTTACATGTTTAGACCTTTGCTGTCTATGCAGTTGTCATTAATGGAATTCCTTTTGTTTCAATTTACCATTTCCTGATACCAAAAGGATTCTTTGGAGGAAGTGCTTTCATTTCCTAAGCTAACTTTTCAGCAGTTCTTGTAGCTTTCCTTGTATTTCCCTCCTCCTTTCCTACCTTCCTTGGTTTCCCTCTCCTCTGTTTTATTTTTTAAAACCTATGTATGGCCTGAAGTGAGTTGTGTTTTCTGTTCTTACTTGTTCTGTCTGCTTGCAGTGGTGTGGGAGAACTCACCTGACTTCTCTGTACTGCAGTTTCACCCTTCATACCAGGATGCAGTGCCAGTTTACCAAGAAAATATGGGCCCAAATGGATTTTTTTGTTGTAGCTTTCAGTTTCCACGTATCAAAAAAACGTTTGGACAAATTTCTCTAAGAAACAATATCTTATGTACGAGTGGAGAATAAGAGAGAAGGTTTTCCCCTCATTTTTCTTCTTCTGTGCCTCTGAAGTTGCAAATGCAAAAGTGATTCTTCAAGAAATATTCTTGTGGATACTGCTTCAGTTCGGGGGGTGGTGTGTTATTTTTTAGGACTTTTCTTGACACAAGGCTGGTTTTGGGTAGAAGTATGATCTCACATTGACCTTGGGTTTTCACAACCACATCTTGCCTTGGAAAACCCTTGCATGAATCGTTCCTCTTTCCACTCCTATGGGGATGGAAAGGGGGAGTCACCATCCTGCCTTACCATAAGACTGAAACTTTTTGAAGTAGAACTGGATCCCTAGAGACACTGGGTTACCTCAGATAGATGGAAATTGTGTGTACATTCTAAAGTATTTCTGTTTTTCCCTGACTGGTCAATAAAAATAAAAAAATTACAGCCCAGCAAGTCTTGTGACCGGAATGCAAGAAGAATAAGGTTTCAGCTTTTGCTTTTCGTTTTGAAATTAAATATCTTCTTTTCCGTCCTAGTGTACTCTTGACTCAGAAGTGGCTCTTCGAGTGGGAGGTGATTTCTTCTTTGATCCTCAGCCTGGTGACTCCCCAGTAAACCTAGTGCTGATAGCAGGGGGTGTTGGAATTAACCCATTGTTTTCTATACTGCTGCATATAGCAGATCTTCATGGATACCAAGAGGGTAAAGGAAATGGACACAAATTGGGAACAGTGAAGCTGTACTACAGTGCAAAAAATACAAGTGAACTCTTATTTAAGGTAAATAAAAAGTTTTTTTTAAAAATAGGTCTCAGCTATTCAGCTACTGGTGTGTATATCAATTGGTTGCCAAACTCCAGAGTCCTTCTGCGTAAGACAGTGTTCGAATGGAGACAAAACTCACTTCCTGCCTCAAATCCCACATCTGTTTTGTTAACTACTTATGCCAGTGTACAAATTAAGGTATATCTGAGACCAGATATACCTGGTCTCAGTGACTTTGGTGATAAATCAATTACCCCTAAATTTTACTGTAGACCTGCATTTTACTATATTCTCATAAGAGCATCAGAGTATATTAAAGGCTTTATATATATATATGTATATATACACACCAGTAGTATGCATAAAATTATAGTACTGAAACCACATAGTCTCAGTACAGATTGTATTGAATTTAAAGACTAGAAAAGAGCAATTATATCCAAAGGAAACACTTTCTAAAATAACAGGAGAGCTTTATTGATAATGCATTCGTTATTATTGGGTACTGTTGTATGAATGAAGGACTTAGATCTGCTTTTAAAATTTCTTTTGCGGCACTTCACCAACATTTACTCAGCAGTTAAAGATCAGCTGTCACGCTCAGCCATTAAGGGTCACCGATAACATTTTAGGGTCAAATTAGCACAGCTTCTGTAAAGAAGCTTCCAAGGTGATTTAGGTTTCTTCAGAGTATTAAAAGCTTTTGGTTGGAAGATAAAGGTAAAAATAAACTGTGTGTAGGATCCATCACTAGTTTTTCTTCTGTACTTCTGCCGTGTTTTCTAGATATGGAGATACTTGCTTTCTTCGCAAAGTCATTTGTTTGTTGCTAGAAGCAGAATAATCTGCTCCTCCCTTTGGCCAGCTCTGCTCTGCTGGTCTGTTCCGAGCTTGCCCAGGTGTTCTCAGTGCCTGTGCTCACATTCTCGAGTTTCACTTCAGCCATGCTGTGACAGCAGAGCTTTTGTATTAAAGCTTCTGGGCAGAAGAGACCACAGTGGTATTTACAGTGCTTACAATATATCCTTCATTCGTCACATGTCCCTCCAATCCAGAACATGTCTGTCAAAATTCTTTACTTCTGTGCAGAGGAGTGAGGGAATGGAATCACTGGGAGCCTGTATGCTGTTGTGAGAAACATCTGTACAACTCTCCAGGAGGAACTGCTGGGTTTTTACCAATGGTTTGGAGGACATGTTCCCTGAAGGAGCAGCTCTGTACGAGGCTGACAAGGGGAAAGGGAAACACCAACGTGTTGGGTGTGATACTTGTTCTGGATGTGCTCTCATGTCCCAGGCTGAGGCACTGCTTCTGAAAAGCTCCTTAGTGCAAATGGTAGAAGCAATGGTAGAAGTACTAATGGAATTAGTGTCCAAGTGTCAGTCTCTGCTGCTCTTCATTCCCTGTCTTTTTAGGGATTCAGGAACAGATTTATCTACAAAGTAGTATCTGTCTGGGGTTTTTTGTTAAGCAACCCATTGGCAGACTCTCTAGTGTAGTAACCAATTAGCAAGCAAACACAACAAAATGAGCTGATTTACCTATTTGAAGAGTAGAAATTATTTGCATTTCGGAATATTTTTAAGAATTTTCAGTGTCCATTCCAGCAGTGAAAATCTTAAATAGTGCAGAATCTAGACAATAGCTAAATCTTAATTTCAGAATTAACTGCAGCGTCTGACAGACACATTATTTTTTTACTATGATTTGAATTGAAGCTGCTGGGTTTTTGGTGGCAACTTCTCACAGCTGTGACTCAGGGAACTGAAAATTACAATTTCTACTTTCTACTCTTGTAAAAAGTAACATTACCATTACATTGTAGTTGGTTTTACTTGGAGGACATGAGACAGTTAAAGGTCTAGTAATCTTACCACATAAAGCAGACAAGACTCAAAAAGTTCCTAACAAATGGTAAATACACATTGCTGGGGGCTTTTTAAATGGAAAACCCCTATGGAAGTGGAAGGAGGAAACAGTGAGAATTTAAAAGAGGAAGAAACTGGGAAATGACGTAACTGGTTCTTAGGTCCAAACCTGACAGATTTCAACCCATCTCAGAGAAGGAGACACGCTGTAACATAGCTGGCAGGGTATTCACGTTCCAGGTATGGGAACTGTGTGTGTAGGTGTGCAGGTCAGCCCTGTGGTGAATCAAGCCCATCAGGTTCTCAGTGCTGAAATGCAAAGTCTTGGCTCTTGGCAATAATCACTGGTGTTGTGGGACTGTGTGCATACATCTGCTTTGATTTAATGGCCTTTGGTGTAAGCAAGTGTGTTTAACATTACAGAAAAATATTCTTGATTTGATGAACACGTTTCCTGGAAAGATCACATGTTGTTTCCACGTTACCCAACAGCGTTCCCAGATCTGTAAAGAACTTCAGCCACACGTTACAGGTAAATGTACAGAGATGGCATCTAAAGGATTGAGTTATTATGCGTAATAACTTAGTATTTTTAACTTTAAAGGTTCAAATTGAGATGAGAGTTAAACCTAAATAATTTCACTGAACACAGAAAATTTTTCCCCTTCCAGTTTTTGTTTTCCTCTGTTAATTCAAAACTTCATACTGGTTCTTTCCCACTTCAAACTTTATTCCAGAAGTTATTAAGCAAAGTATTTACTTTCCTATTTACTTTGCTTAAGGTGGGATTCATGAAGGATAATCTGACTGCTTGTAAGAGATATTTCAGCATGTTTCCATTTCTGCTCTATTTGTGTTAGAGATACTTACCTATTTTTTTCATGTGAATGTGGGATTTTTGCTTGTGTGTCAGCCATGTTCTGTTCAGTGACTAATACCCTCTGCATTCCAAGCAGAAGTACCGATCTAAATCCCCAAAAGAACAACAAATGGCTTTCGAAGCCTCGAATCTCAATACCTATTTTTCTGAAACAAACAGGCCAGGCATTTTTAATAAATGAGTGCTTGAAATACCTCTAACCAGACATTCTTTTTGAAATGACTTCACGATTAATATTTCTGTTCTCATTTCCTACTTCTTTTCTTTGTCAGAGGGAAGAATATCTGCAAAAGATCTAGAAAAACACGTATCTAACAATACTTCATGGTACATCTGTGGTCCACCTCCGATGATAGAATCTATATCCAAACTACTGTCTAACATTGGTGTTCCTGGAAACTCTGTTTTCTTCGAGAAATGGTGGTAGTGACACCTGCTGAAGAGAAAATATCTTATTTTTTCAAGTGCATTTTGATAAGCTGCAATGTGCAGAATTGGACTATGAATTATTTGGAAGATTTTACTTCATAGATGAAGATGTCCTCAATTATAACAGTGTTCCTTTTAATTTAACTGTAATATACCTGTAATGCAGTGCTGCTTCTTTGGGGGAAAGTGATTTTATATTAAAGACATTAACTGTTCTGTTTTTTTGATAGTTTGCTTCTTCTTATGGGTAGCAGCATATTTTCACATTACACACTTCCTTTGTTAGTCAGCTTTTAAAAGACTTTCTGTGCCTGATTCAGCAATTGCAGAGAATTAGTTATGCAGCAATGCCAGGTCTGTTTATAAAAATAAATGAGGCCACAACTTCTGAATCTGCTCCAAATGAGTCAACACACTTCCCTCCCCAGTTCCACATAATACATTACTATTTCTATAGAAGTTCAGATGCCGTGTTGTGACTTCCTTCTCACCATTTCTTGTCAAAAGGAAAAACCAACCTTTTATGTGGTTCAGCTGTGCTGAGAGTGAAAGACACTTTTTTTTGGTAATCCTGTTCAGCCATGAGTTAAAAGTGTTGAGTGTAGCAGTGTTGGACATCGGTTCAGCTTCCCACCTGAACCTGTATCCCGTGCCAGTGCCGAGGTTGCCCATCCAAGACTGTGCTTGTGTGTGCCACATCCTCAAAAGCAGCACTGGCCACAAACAGCCAAGATGGGAAATCTCCACAATCCTGCTGCATAAAGCACAGAGCTTTAGGGGAATCCAGGACATATCAGTTCTGCTTGGAGAAGAGTCTCTGGAAAGGCTGCTCTGGTAAGACATGAGTGTACCTCTCTGTGTCATGGCTGACACCTGAGCCCTTCCAGAATGAAGCTTCTTTGCCCAGCTTGTAGAAAAACTTGTAGAATTTGAGACCAACAAAAAGCTAAAAGTAGTTTCTTAATTATCTGCATAGACAGTTCAAGTCCTTAAAGTGGTAGAGATTCCTCACTGTGCATCTGAAGACCTCAATAAGGAACAGTATCAAAAATACTAAATTAATATTGAATTAGTAAAAACGTTAAACAGATAAGGCCTTCTCTTTGTTAGTGGCTTCTTATCTTGTGTTAAATGTTTCAGATAATAGTCAACTCGGTAATGCAGCAAGTTTCTTGCCATCAGTGTGTCCCTGCTCAGCCTTAAAGAGCTTGCAAGGATAACGATCCCATCAGCCTATTTCCAGCCTGCAGCACTACTGTTGGTGTGAGGCACTTTGTTTTCAAGCATAACTTCCCTGTGGCTGGCAAAAAAGGCCTCCAGCCCAGCTGTAGTTCTCTCCCAAAAGTCATTTCAGCCTCAGCATGCGGAGTTCAGCCTCTAGTAGTACCCTCTTTTTATCAACCTGGTACGTTGTACAGCTCGTAGGATACCTACTGCCATATCCGCACGCACCTCATCTTCAAAATCCAATTAAGGCAGCCCAGCTGGGAAACTCCAGGCCCTTGCTTTGAGGGAAGCACAAAACTACTACTGTAATTGTGGCCGAAGGTGACTGAACAACTGAAACGATGCCGGCGCTTCCTGAGTGTCGAAGAGAACAGCCCGTACCTACTGCTGCTCAGAGCACTCTCAGCTGAAGGACAGGCTGTATTTTCCATCAGGAGGGTGCGACTCTGACTGATGGACCTTAAAGAGTTGCCATTTGGGGACAGCACTGTGATGAGGCCTTGCCTGTAAGTTTACGCCTTCTGCTGCCTGCAGCCTCATCCACCGAGGTCTGTGCTTGTGTTCCACGGACATGGCCAGCCTCCTCCGCAGTCCCTGCAGACCCAGAGGGGATGTCTCATCGAATTCCCTCCTCCTCAGACGAGAGGAAGATTCTTTCTGAGTACCCCTATTCCAAGGAATGGTTCCTTGTTTGTTCACTCTAGAATGTAAATAGGACAGCATGCTTGTCACAAAACATAACACCGAGGGGGCTTTGCATTCACAAAGATCGCAGCTGACATGTCAGAGCTTGATGCCTGAAAGCAGCAGGGTTTTCCTAGGAACGTGCAGTACATTGCTATCGGGAAGTACTGCTGCCCTAAAATAAAAACCACACATTAGGCTCCTGCATGTTTTGACAGTGTAATGATAAAAAGATTCTGAGAAGCCTTTACATGTTGTTTTTCTTACGACTTTTAAATCATTATGTGGATTATAAACTGGTATACCTTTTTTTTCTGCTTAATGCATAGGTTTTCTGCAGCCCAAATGACATCTCTTTCACAAACCCCTCCTCGGACTTGCCCCAAAATGTCCATTTAACAAAAGGCATTTTGAAACCCTTTGCTTCTGTAATCATCTTCTTTTCCCTCTAACCTCTTTCTGTCATCCCCTGTTACGCTCAAGCCGAGCGCTGTGGGGCAAGGGCTCATCTCTCTAATTGTATGGGCTCACCCACTTGAAGAGCAGGACGAAACACACACACACTGCACCAAAAGATGAGAGGAGAAAAATAATTTCATACCTCCCCACCCCCAAATACTGGTAACCTCTGCTAATGTCAACAAGAAGTCCTTTCTTACCTTGTGATAAATGCCATTTCTAAGCCAAGGAGTCAGGAAAGTTGTTGACATCCCCTTCCTCCATGGCCTTTTCCTGTTGACACTTAGGAATCTTTCAGAAGTCTCTTCTTGCTAGTCTCGTAGTCTTACAGTGAAACATCAGTTTCACCCTAAAGTCTGTTATTGGATCTGACTCTGCTTTAATTGAAGACAAAAATAACACCCCAGGAACATTCACCCATATAAACATATGGTCTACAAATAATGAAATAAATGTGATATTGGGCTGCACTGGTGGGAACAGAGAGCAGCCCTTGCTCTTCAGCTGCTACAGGGTTGGAGAAATATTCTCATCACACTGGAGAATCACATCACCATAGAAAATGTTTATTCCTCTTACACTTGTGCCAGTAGCTAAGGAGCAACTGAAAGAGAAGAAGTAGACTGACACTCTTTTTTTGCAACAAAAGATGAGGAGTGAGAGATGTGCCTGTCTATACATTTATATTTCAACTTAGGGAGATGGTTTGTGAGTTACCTGGTGTTGCAGCCTTATTTGACTTTTTCTTCTTGTGACACGTATTTTACTAGTTTGCCTGTGTTTATCTGGTAGAGTAAGTATGAAGTATTCCTATAGGATTTGCATTAATTAGCTGGAAAAAGAGTGGCTATCCAGTTATTATTACATCACTTCAGTTAGCAGGGTGCTTTTAGAGTGAGTAACAGAAAGCACTTCAATTGAAAAGCCTTTTTTTCCCCTTCAGTGTATAGGTAGGGTACTGATTACAGTCAGCTGCCACATCCAGCACCACAGGCACCTGAGGATGGAGGCTTTGGCAAGGATCATCATCTAAAGCCAAAAGCTCATCTCCACCAACAGCCTCGGAGACATATGACTTGTGTCTACAACTCATAATTCATAGGTGCGTTGGTGTTGTTCACCCACATTCCTCATGCTTCTGAGAAGCACTTACCAGCAAGAAATTAGTATCTGCTCTTCTTCCACTCTTCAGTTCTGTGAGGATGAAATTCCTGCATGAAAGGCTGATTGTGCTTCATTTCTGCCCTATAACTGGCTCCCTGAGGCAAACACAGAGTCACGGCAACTGCTAGGAAAAAGCAGGGTGCCCAAATGCAGAGCCCTTCCCCTGCTCACCTCAGACACCAAGGCTGACAGAGGAGCCAAAGTAGAGAAAAAAGGGTATATTGTTTTGTACTTAGCTTCACGTCCACGCATATGTTAAAGCCACTTGGGACTACTTCATTTATACTGTTTTCAAATGCACAGATCCAATAATCACAGACATTATGCAAGATGAAGTGCCAGTCCAATCATTTGTGCATTTAACTCCTCCTGAACTCTACATAAACTATTTTCATTACGATGTTTCAGCAGTCTGGACATCCTAGCCATCATAGTTGTACCCCTCTACCCCTGCTCCCCACTGTTCGTTGCAATATAAAACCCCTTTTCTATCCTTCATTTAATTCAGCCACTCCTCTTTTGACATTTCCTCATTTGCCTGAGCTGGATCTTCTCCTTAGAATTTATCCTGTTGTAACAATTGTTGGCGTATTCAGATGACCACTTGCTCCAAACACCAGCACACACAAAACTCCTCCCAACAGAGTATCCCACGTGCTCCTCCCTCAGAGACAGGCAACTCTTGGGACAGGTGTACACACCTGAGTTGTGCTGGTCTGAGAGGGGTGGTTCATGTCAGAACACACCCCTGTGCTGTGGGGCTGCCCTGTCACCAGCCAACACCGGGAACGTGTGGTAGCACAACCCATCAGCTCCTTGCCCAGGACATGCTGGCAATGCTCAGCTGGTGTCTCCTTCCAAGAGAGGCACGGGAAGATTCGTTTGCATCCTTACTGGGAGATTCTGCCTAATCTTGGGGGGAAAATTCAGGTTTGGCTTAAATGCTGGCTCTCTGGGGAAAAGAAAGCAGCTGGCTTCTCTCTCCATCTGCTGCCAGGGGTGACCAACCCTGCTGCAGACCTGGTGGCTCAGAGTCACTGTGGCTTCTCCGTGTGAGCAGCCAGGATGGAGTCCCACTGTCCCCCCTGAGCTGACAGTTGAGGCTGTACCTCTGCAGCCAAAAGTCACATTTCAGCTTCTCCCACAGATTTCTCCCACTCCATTGCTGGCGTCTTTCCCTGTGTTGGTCAGGTTTTTGGAGGTTTTCAGATACAGGATTTGAGCTCTGGCCTAACCCTTTCTCTTCTCCCTTCAAGCTTCAAATGAGGTGCTGACTGATTCCTTTCACTTCCTTGGCCACTCCTGCTTTTTCGGGCCCAAAATGGCAAAAGCAGCTGAGATAAAGCACAGGTTAACATCTGTGAAGCCTTGCTGCTGTAGCCCACACCTGCCTTCCCCAGCCCTCATCACATCTGGATCATCTGCCTGTGAGGTGATTTAAGTCTCCTCACTTTCCTTGAGATGGGGGCACAGTGGAAGCACATGCACAACTCCAGACAGCTGAACCAGCTCAGGGTAATTCGAAGTCACGAGCTGGAATTAATTATTACGTGACTATAAACCCAAAGCCGTTTGCGCCCTTATGAAACTGAAAAAACCAGGCAAGTTCTCTTTGACTCTCCCCAACCCTAAGCCACTCCAGCATTTACAGGAACAAAGTTTTAAGTCGAGCTTTCACTTAA